GCCGTGTAGCTACGGTGCACACCGCTGCAGCGTCTGCTGGTCGCATACGGCTCCTGCGCTCCTCGCCTGCAGCGGTGTGAGCCGTAACTACACGACACTCCTAGCGGTGGGTGCCGAAACCTTCCTTTGACAGTCTATATTTATTCTATTTGTCTATGGTCAAAGCTACCTGTATAATCAAGTTATAGCTTCTCCAACTGTAAATATAAAAATGCTTTTTAAGTGGAACAAACTTGTTACATATACAGAATAAAAGTTTCAACGAATGTTTCTAGCCTCCACTTTAATCTGTTTGCAGAGTTACTATGAGTATGTTCAAAATGAATTTTTTTCATAGTGAAAATACATCTTATTCAGTTAGATGTTTCAGCTAGAATATTGTATCACAATTGTATACAATAAAACATTGGAAAATTAAAAAAAAACTCGTATCTTTATATCAGTAAAACCTTAACTTCCATGTAACTAACGTTAACTAGAAAAAGTGCGTTAGATTTATATAGCTACAATATACTTCATTTATACCCTGGTTACCAATATAAAAGGTAAACTTTTGATTTGAGCAAATAAGTAGTGTATACTCTTTATGGGAGGTTGTTTCATCGATGTGATTTTGTTTATACTTTACTTTGAGCGTTCTAAGGTTATATTTAATTTTATTCAACCATCTAAATCTAAATTATGTTTTTGAGATACTGTCTCATTATGTATTTTACTATCTCTCTTTACTTAATCATTAAATTAAAATAGCCCTCTATAATCAGAAGATAACTAAAAGTGCCATTGATTTATTAATTAGATACCAGCTTCCTGGGTTAATGCCCTGTAGTAAGCTATTCATTTCTTACACAGTTACGATTGGTATAATGGTTATGTGTAGATATTATAAACTAGATTTTAAATGTTAGACCGTCACTTTTAGTCCTAGTTCCAAATATTCAGTACTAAGGCTGCACCTAAAAAGCTAAACTAGTCAACTAACTAATTGCAATTTGACTAGATAAAATAAACTTAAACCTGTTGAACAATTTAAAAATATGTCTTCTATTTGATTCCCAAACTACTTACGCTACGATGTCATTATGAGGGGTCATTGTACTCTATGATTCACTGCATGATTATATATGATACTGGTGTCATTGAACTTGTGAGGGCAAGCAAACGTCACAAACCATTGCATAACTGATTATGCATCGCTCTGACCTCAAACCTCTATCAGTACCTACATTATATTGTAATATCAATACAAGCATTTAAGGAAAGGTGGTCATCTGATAAATGTGTAGACGATTGATCAGTTTATAGTAGCTTACTTTGCTAGTATCATTAAAGCGAAAGTTAGAGTCACGTGATGAATCTACTGAAAACTACTTGACCGATTGAGCTGGACATTTTGCAGTAAAATCACCTTTGTACCAAAAGTGGACATAGGCTTACTTTTATTTCGAAACCTTCCTCGGTATCCACTCCACTGGCCTTCAAAGTTGCCTTGTTATTCTTATGAATTAACTTATTATTGGAATTACCACTACTAATATGGTAATTCCAATAATAAGTTTATTGGAATTACCAAGTTATTATAAACCAGCAGTTAAAACTTTTTTTGTGTTTTGTTTCACATTGTTGATGTTTATGTATTATTTGAAAATCAGGGTTATGGTTAATTAATGTTACTTGTACATTTGTTTTGTTGGATTTCGCTTGTAGGTTTCCGTAAAATTTGTATTACAATTTTCGAGCAAACATGCTTGATTAACATTGAAGTATAAGAGTTAACTCATGCCTCTTATAAAGATATCTCTATCAAGTAACTGAATGTATTGATTTACTAAAATATGTTAATAGACTTTTGTATGTGTTGACTTAAAATATTATTAGAATTGTAAAATTAAATACTTTTTAAGTAACGTATCTTTCCTCATTAAATTATATTTAAGGCACTTTCAAACACGCATCAGCGCCAATGTTACACCTGTGCCAAATTGTATAGGAAAATAAAAATCCCTTACCTGAAGTTTAAGAAAATAATTTTTCTTTTGCTACAGTAACCTGACAAAGCAGGCTTTCTTGCACTCATTATAGCATGCAGAATATCTAATTACTGCATTTACTTACTTTTGTCGCACTCATTTTACTTTGCCGCAATTATTTCGACCGAACGACACAAAACCGTGTGCACAAAATAAGGCACAAAATACGTGTACGCTTAAAAATAAGTTGGCAACACTTTATAGATACTACAGCTACGATCAGCTGGTGCAGCGTTTCACAGCCATTGAGTATTGATACGACTTACCTGTGTGTTAACGTTTTATTGTCGTCCAAAGCTTGCATTTAACCTAAAAAACGTGTTTTTAAGTGTATGAAAAACTAATTATTTCTATGCTGTATAGTAAGTGTAAACAATATAATGTGTAACGCGAGCGCAAAGTGCCACTTCGCCCACACAAATAACCATCATCAAACTAAGCAGTAAAATTAATTTTTATTTTTGAGTTGAACAATGAATGTGTAACTATTGTAATTTATCATTCGGCAGATGTTTAGAACCACAATAATCTCTTCCGTATTCTTCCCCTGTTGCGGAGCTCCGGTAATAGTGGCTAGTAGCGTTTTTTCTTCTTTTTTTTAGTCCCACCTTCACATCTTAGGACGCTAGGTTCTACCCGGAAGTGTTATACACTTTGCTTCAAGCTAGTCTTAGGGGGTTGCGTCATTATCACATTGATAAAGTCCATTGATGATTAGCGGGATATGAACCCGGGACCTCTAGCTCCGAAGCCCCAAGCTCTATCACAAGACCAGCCGGTTCTCACAAGTAGCGATTACGAAAATATCTAAGTTTATCAGCATTATTAACTAACTTTTTGCCCAAATACTTATTACTACAGATTTGCTCTGAAAAATATATACCACACCTCTGTAGCCAATTAGGTGGCTATTTCACATAACCTTTGCCCTAAAAAGTCAGGTACAAATCTTATCATTCACGATATGGCTAATTTGCTAACAAATGTTTTGGAGACAATTTCTGGCTCATGTATATGCATATATTTAGTAGAAATGAGAATCCCCATTATTAGATATCACTGAATGTTGATTTTTTTTATTCTGTTAGCTACTTATAGATTACAAATTCAAATATTTTTAAGAAGGATAAAATCTTTTGTTTTTAAATACTCTTTTGACCTTAACCAGTTTGGACAAGTTAATTTGTACACTTATTAAATTTAAATACAGGGTGATTTGTACTCAGTCTGACAAACATTTTTTGGTGTAAGTACAAAGTAAATGAAGTGTGGTGATGCATATCAAAGATTCCTAGTCTAAAAAAAACGACTGTTGTTTTATTAGCTACCTAAATATTTTTTTATGTTTTTTAAAAATAACTATGTTTTTGAACTTAATAGGCCTACAGCTCTTTCTCAAATATCTGTATAAGGATTTGAGTAGATAATGTCATTTTCGTGTTCTACTTTAAATTTTGAATACGAATAATAGAAAATGACGGAGGATCAGTTGTAAAAACTCCATTGTAAATAGATTCAAAGAAAAAATTAAGATGTTTGATAAACATTTCTAAAAAAACATTGTCTATTGTATTTGTTCACACTCTGTATACAAGGAAGTGTCCGAATATGTTAAAAGCTGCGCCATTTTGTAAGATTTCCAACCATATGCTACACTATTGAGGTTTAGATATTCTTTTGTTTCTTTTAGTGGTTTGAATACCAGAAAGCAGGGAACTTTTTTACTGTTTTTACTGTTCAAGCTGAAACAAAAATACAAATTTTGCTTAATACCACTACTTAATACATGCCGACTTTCTGTGTTTTAAATGTTTAAGTCACCATGTTTTGTAGTCTTCAATCCACTAAAGCCTACATAAGCAGACATAAAGCTCAATAGTGTATCATATGGTTGGAAAGCTTATACAATGCCGCAGTTTTTACTATATTCGGACACTTTCTTGTATACAGGGTGTAAACAAATGCAATAGACCAATGTTTTTTTTTTCAAAATTTACAGTCTTTCTATTTTTACGTTATTTAAATTTCCACTAGTTTGTCTTCAACCATTTAACAATACGCATTTAGTCTAATACTTAATTATCGACCTTAAGCTGTTGTGCTTGTGTGTGTGTACGTGCATATTTACTAGCAACGTACTTTGATGTATTAATTTAAATACGTTCTGGTTGGTGAAATATAGTTAAGTGGGCAAGAAAATTATAAGTTCCAGACATATACTCTTTTGTGTCCTCGTTACATGGGTTTTTAACATTGAAAGTAGCTGGAAACAAAGATACATTACAGTTTTATAACACAAAAACGTATTTAGTATTTCCATATTAACTATTTTCCTTGGGAAGTGTCAAGCTATCATTCAAAATAATGATGAAATAGTTTAGTAAAAATCCTATATCTTTTGAAACATACAGTATTTGGGTAGTGTTTTAAAAATCCACGAAGTATAAATTGATTTGTGAGAAGCAATTTGTACAAGTTTTCTAAGAAGTATTTTTGTGGAATCAGTTCATATGAGAGGGATAAGAACATTCACAGGACACAGTAGAACTCATAGAAAGTAAATTTGGAAAGTTCAATTTTATAATTTGTATATTTTTATTGCACTTTATGTCCCCCTATCCGCCATTTCAATGACAAAATTTTATCCAGATGCGATTTTCAAATGTATATCTATATCCCCCTCCATTTATAAACCAGGAAACATCTATTGATATATCAGTGTACACTTATATACGAGTAACCAAATTTATAGAAAATAAGTTACGGTAATGAATTAAAATTTCAACCAACTGGAATCCCGAGACTACCAAACGCATTGAAACTAATAAATTATTGTAATTTAGATAACTATTTTGAAACACGAAATGTGTGAGGTCATAGTTTCCCCCGTTATCATCATTTCCAGTCAGCCGGTGAGTCATTCCAGTCCACATTAACTGATACGGTAATGGAGAGTTAGTAAGGATCGAACCGGCGACTAGACAACTCCAGTAACTGTGTAGTGTGTAGCCCCGACCAATCATGTGCATAGGACGGTTTCTTCTGGAAGTGTCTCTGATCGCAGGTAATTTTAACGTGTCATTGGCCTTGATCCAGCAAGCTCCTGTTAGAAAAGTACTTGTATTAAGGTGTATAAAATAATAGGTTGTTGATATAACGGCGTTGTGAAGGGCGGTAATCTTAAAATTTACACTGATAAAACATAACATGTGTATAGGGCCTAGTATATTATTCACTTAAAATACTAACATGTCCAAAGAATTTAACTTTCAATGGTTAGTATAGCCCACGGTTTATGCAGGTTTTTTGGTAAATTTATAAACAAAGCTATTCACAGAAATGTACATAGTGTAATTTATGAAAATTTGTATTAAATAGGTATTTATTGTAGCTTACCAAATAATGAAAGATAATGTTTTATAGTTCGATTTCACACTGCAATCACGTTTATTTTGTTTTATATTGCAATTTAGCTGACTTTCTTAGGCCCTTATCTATCTCAGAGATGAAAATATTTTAATAAAAAAACCTATATAAACATTTTTGTCACATGAATTTTTTCCGAGGAGTTTCTACGAGGTAAATTATAAAAAATAAATTAGATCTATCAAAATATTGTTGTCAATTGCTCCTAATTACTAGAGTAACATATTTTTTTTAAATATAATTGGCTGAAGTGAATTGTTTAAAGTTTATTTTTATTTAAATGTTTGCTTGCACAATATAGCTAGCGATGGGTTAAATAGGTAGATTACGATAGTTTCGGAGACTAGGTTGACTTCTTTGGATCCTTGTCAAAAATATCAATCTTCCCTAATATTGAGGTCGTCGAAACATTAAAAACAGTGATTTTTAAATAGAGACTGGACATATAAACCAAGCAGGATGTACCCGGTGGCCACAGTAGTTGAATATTCATTTTTATGTCTTTATAAATGTTCATGTATGCGTGTTCAATGTTTTGATGACCTAAATATGAAAGAATATTGATAATTAATATTTTTGATAAGGATCCGAAGAAGGTGACATAGTCACCGAAACGATTATCATTCACCCTAAAATGGAGGTATTATAAATTACTAAACGAAATCAAGGTACATTAAGATTTAATTTATTAAATTAATGTATTCATCTTCTATAGATAGAACATTATAACACTATTACTTTTAGCTGTGGCAGCTCACCACACAGTGCTCATCGCAAACCAAGGAGGCGTACACGCTGTGGACCCGATCAGTCAAAATGTCAAAACTCTTCTGGAATACGAAAAAGGAGCCAACACTGTTACCTACAGCTTACAAACTGAAAATGTTTACGGGATTTTCCAAAGTCAAAACCCATTCGATCACAAAATAGTCAGGTATTTTTAAATGGATTTTTATTGACACTAAGGTACATTGATTGAATATTTTGATAAAATTCAAACAATTGAGTTGCCATTTTATTCAACTAGCTGTAACCTTTGACTATTAATACAACCTTCTGTATCCAATAGTCAATGCTGTTACCCACGGGCTTCACTCCGTTTGACTTCATAAGTATTAATAAAAATATTGATTGGTTAAGTTAAGCTGAAACATACAAAACAGAATCTAGTAATACAAACAAATGATCACACCTGATTTTAATAAGGTAATAAATTGAAAGAATAACAAACAAATAAGTACAAATGAGGTATTTTAACATTAGGTAAATGGAAATTCAGACCCATTAAGGGCAATTTATGAAATAATGGATAGTTTTGCGCAAGGTTTCTCGTCATGACGAACATTTTAAGTACATGGTTTTTAGGTGTGTTACTTGTAGTTTTCTCAAAAGCTCATGGGTACTTTGGGATTTATATATGGATCATAGTGTATTGCTAGGATGAATATACAATAAAACAATAAACTAGATAATTTAAAAAAATAATCAAATTTGGATATACTTAACTTTGTAAAAGATACACTTCCTAATACTACTAAACAGAAAAAATAAAATCATTTAACTATAGTCTTTTGTATTATGAATAGACCTTTTTGGATTTATTAATAACTACACATTTTTATATGTCTGTATGCGTAAAAAAATCACGAGTGGTAATATTTTCATGCATTTAGTACGTATTATGCTATAATCCTGAAACTGAGTATATAAACTAACCAGATAGTAAACAAGAAGTTTTTTTTTTATTAAAGAGTGTGCTAACTCACGTCTGGCTTTGAACAAAATGAAGGAAAACCCTGAGAAAGGTTTGATTATTTTGTTTAGTACGTTATTTTATAATTTTGCACGTATCGGTTAACAAACATTAAGAGTACGGTGTTAGCTAAATACACATTATTGCTATTTTAGCCTGAAATATACTTAATATTTTAATTTTACTATGCAGTATATTTTAATTTATATTTATATTAACATTTTAAATTAATTAAAAAAACGTCAATTTTCTCACAAATCCAAATATAATTTATCCTTTACAAAACTTTATAATTTTCTTCTGTTTCAGGACTAAAATCGTTGACAAATCAGAGCCATGTAATGTCCACAATTTGGAAGAATGGTAAGTTATTACTTTTTATTTATTATAAAAATTCAAATGTCGAAGAAGTAAATTCAATGAAACAAATCAATATAAAAATGCAGGGCTTGATTTTCAGTTGTACTGCAGTAGGTATCTTTACAGTTCCGTATTTTAACAAAGACACACTAGCCTATTAACGTAAAGAAAAACTTTAAAATATGCCTTTACCACGTTTTCCACACTAATTCTCTGTTCGCAATCTACATATTTCGATTGAACTTTATAGTAATTGTTTTCTATCAGAACAATGTAATGTTATTACATTACAAACAAATCAGATAACAAAATGTTCAAGAACTATGAGAACACCAAATCCCTGATGACCCGATCCTGCTGAAAACAGCCAGAATTAGAAAATGCCACCGTTTCAGCAGACCTGCAGACCTGCTATAACTTATTGGGTTTAATTTAATGAGTTACAGGGGAGCAAAATATATCTCCGATTCTCGAAGTTCTTCTCGGTCTTTAAAAATGTACTTACGATTCTAGATCTTCCTGTTACAAGGACTCACTTATTATTATTTACAATTGTTTTACAATTTTCAAACAGAGAGAATCTTAAAATGATTATGTTTATTTTAGGTGCCGTAGGAGCAAGTTATGTTTTAAAGTATGCAAGTCTGACAATCCTTACATGCCGTTCCGAATTAAGTTTGGCAAATGTCTAAAGGCTAGCAACTTGGTATTAGACTGGATCAACGACAATTTATATTGGACGTGTGAGCCGAATGGTCCCGAACAAAAGTCGTCCCTCAATGTCATGGATGTGGACGATAAACACAATAAAACTCTTCTAACAAAGTCAAATCCTATACAAAGCATTGATGTCGATCCGTATGAAAAGTAAGTTAATTTTCTCTGAGGTAATTATTAAGTTAAGCTAGCCTAATGAGTCTTTCTGTAATCTTACAGTTTTATAGAACACTATTTAGGCATTTAAAGGTTTGTAATACTTGTGAAACTATTAAATCAACGCTATTGTACAACTAATATCAAACTACTAAGTCAAATCGAAAATGTTTGCAGTAGCACGATTAAATTAATTAATTAGCCCTAGAAAAGAACTCTAGGAATAATGTTCTTTTCCTAGAGTTAACTGACTAAGCAGGGCTTTCAAGCACTGATTATGTGACGCATTATAGCTTATTCATTCATTAACTTGCTTAGCCGCCCTCATTTAACTTTGTCGCACTCATTTTATTTTACCTCACTCCAATATTTCAACCAAACAACACAAAAAGTTGTGATTGTATTAGGCACATAATATGTGTATGCTTAAAAACAAGTTTACAACAAATAAGATCAGCTGTTTATACGTCAGTTAATTCGTAATTTCATTAGACCACTGATACAACGACACCTGTTGTTGCGTGTTAACAACTAACCGTCATTCAACGCATTTTTTCTAAGATAAAACGTATTGTTTAGTGTTTTAAATTATTTATAGGTATAATGTTTGCAAATAATGAACTCAGTAAAATCGAGTGTTTAATAAGTTATAATAGTAAAAGTGTGCGAATATAAGGTAGTATTAGTTTTAATGTGTGTTTTAAACCTGCTACTGCATGTTAAAATAGACATTACAAACCAAAAATTGTATTTAGATTTTGATTTATTAAATTTTTAAAATTCCATTTACATATTTTTTTGCTAACTTGTGAAACAATAATTTCATTTAGGTTTTGTTTTGTTTGTGAGACAATTTAATTTAGATTTGAATTTGATACAGTAACATGTGAAACTAAATAGTAAAAGTTAATTTGCTTTTACCATAGATTAAAATCTATGCTTTACCAGCAAAATGCAAACTATGGTTACAATAAAACTATGCTTATGAGTTCGGAATCTTTTTAATTCAAAGAATAACAAAATTATATACAAGTTCATATTTACATAGTGCTTAAAGAGGACTACAATAAATGTGCAAATTTAAAAATCGTGTCCACAAAAAACAATACAATAAAGATTAAGTTTGAAGTAGGTTCCAGCAATATGTTTGTTTTTACTTAAAATATATATCAAATCGAAACATATTGTTAAAAGATTGTAATAGTTTTCAACTATTTGTTATTCATAAACATCATTTTCCACAGAAAGCTGTTCGTACTGGAGTCAAACGTGTTGACCACCACGACCCTGGAAGGTGGCAATGAGACGATGATTTACCAGTTTGACGATGGTGTTGAGAACATCTCCAAGATCACTCTAGATACCGATAGCAAGATCGTCTATGTTGTCGGAAAATCACTAAATAACAGCAACGACAGGTTCCTGGCCAGGTTAAACTACGACGGAACGGACTACAAGAAATTGTACACAAGTTCTGACCCGGCGTGGCAGTTTGGGCCAAAGATTGTCAACAAAGTTGTCTACTGGCTGACTAACTCTAACAACACCGAATGGCAAGCTGTTGGCGAAGCCGACGTTAAAATGGAGAAATTGCTCGTGCCATTGGTAAATAGTTGTATTAGTTAGTTGTAAATTTACATTGCTCAGTATTTTTTGTGTTACAAAATAAAAATCTTTGTTTTTATCTTTAAGCTTTAAAAGTTGAATACTTGATAAGCAAAGTATCACAAAACTATGATACATTTTATAGACTATATTTAAACATTTATAAATGTAACCAAACAAATCTAATTAGTTAAGTAACAAACAATTTAATAACAAAAAAATTGGCTCGCGAGAAAATTAGGATAAGTAGGTTTATATAGACACAACTCTAAATGCTCTTGGGAAAATTATAAGATGTAAATCCACGTAAACAAATACATTCTCATGGCAATATTAAACACTAAACCCTTAGTTTTTGCGTTTAAAACTAAGTGTTTTTAGTTTAACTAATTGTTTAAAATATGTTACGATTTCAACTTTATATAAAAGAGTATATAAAATACATTAGAGTCTTGTAGTTCCTTTATAAGTAACATGATCCTTTTGGTATATGAAAATACTTAACTTGCGATTAAAATATGTTAGAACTCAATTTATACAATATTAATTAATTAATTAGTCCCAAAACCTAATTAATCGTCTGAGAAAAGTAAATAGAAGAAAGGACAATTCAATTTTAAGAACATTAAACAAACATTCAAGTGTTACCCTTATTTCCTTTGGTGATTTAATTCTAAATTAATATGTTAAATAAAATGTAAAATGTTATTTTACAAACATAGCAATATAATTAGTTGTCAATCGGTTTCTGTAAATCCATTGATTCAATTATGCATTGAGAAACATCAAACTTCAACAAACTAAGTAAAAGCTATTTACCTGAACTCATTTTAAACACTGTCAAGTCATTGAGAAAAGATTTTCTTCGATGTGAAAAATATTAACTTGACGCAAACCCACTCGTTCAAACCAATCAATACATTTACTTGTCTTGTGTGCACATAAAGAACGATATGTGCAAATGAAGTATACTTTACACAAATTGTATTTTCAGGGCGTTGTCCAATGGAGTCTCGTCCATATAGATGCTCAGAAGCCTTTGAACAGTTCACACTGTAGATTGTCAGGATGTTCACATGGTTGTACCATTTCTTCATGGATGAAAGTGGCATGTCAGTGTCCAGATGACATGATTTTAGCAGAGGACAACAAAACGTGCAATGGTACGTCATATAACATTATCTAGGTATAATTCGTAATCCTGATTTACCTGCTCTTCTTTAAACTTCTTTTGTATTCACTTAACCACGACTTAAAAATATTTAATGATTTTTAAATCTAGCAAATTGTCAAATTGTGGAAAACTGTCTGTTGGAAATTGTCAAAGTTAAATTCGAATTGTATGAAAATAATTACTTCCTTAAAGATCTCTTTAAAAAAACAAAATAAATACAAATAAAAAATCTAACTTTCGAATATTACTATAACTATAATGCCAACTGCTCTTTTCTAAATATTTACCTTAATACTCATCATTTGTATGCCAACAGTAATCCCTGGTCTACAGATCACCACTCAAAAGACCGTTGAAACTCCAAGAACAAATGAATCACAGGGTAACAGAGAATTTGTGAATGGATCAGGTGACCTTGCCGAATCAGCTGTGAACGTAACAGACGACTACACACATTCAGCTGGCGAGACTTCCCAGAATGCAACTGTAACAGCTGGAGCAGTAACGGCATCTTCAAGCAGTATGACATTATTTTATATCGTCATCACAACAATCTTTGTGTCTGTATTTATTGTTGTGATTGCTGTCAAAAGAAGAGCGAAAATTGGGAAATACCAGCCTGCAGATTCGCAAGAAAGAACGGACTTCTCTTTGTAAAAACGAACTCGAATTTTTGTACTTACGAAGGTCTAAATTTAAATTCCCTATATGATTATTTTCTAAATGATAAATGACATTCTTACTAAGGTACTTTATGGTTGACATTATTAACTAAGTGGACTTCTCACCACATTGTAATATTTGATGCCTTTTTTTATTTGTAGTCCATATTGGTAAAGTTTAGGGCGCACAAATTTCTATGAAATATTTTATTTTCGTTTAAGCTGGAATTTATGATTTGTGTTTTAGTATTTTTCATAACACCAGATGAGATGCTATTGTCTATAATTGGACCATTTTGTTTTCTTAGTTGTGATGAAAGTTAATTAGCAAGACAAAAATATAGTTAAAATAAAAGTAACCTATAGACGAACCAAATGGGAAGAACATAAAAGTTGTCTTCAGCTGGTACGTAAGCTGATAAATTCACATAAGAGTATTTTTATTTCATAGTAGTGATTAAAGCCCCATAATTTTTATTTTTGTTGTAGTGTATCTCAAAAGTATCAGAGTGTTTTTTTTTTTTTTTGGCGATGTACTTATGAAAGGTATATCCTAAGAATTGATATAGTTTATATTAAAAGGCTGTTTACAGGTGTGTATTTGCAGTCAAACCAAATAAATATGAATGTATTTAAAATAAGTATATTTATTCTCGGCAGCTGGAAAATATATTTTGTATTTATTTATGTACAAACTATTGTGTTTTTCCAATTGACTGCCTAAAGCCTTTGAGGTAGAACAAATCCACATTCAACAGCATTGCATATTGCTTGAACAAAATATGTAAATGGCCAATAGAACGGCAGATTCATATGACTAGGTCGTATTTCCATTCGGGGAATCCATTTATGACCAGTGAATTCTATTGTAACGTGAAGAAATTTTAACAATAATATATTCTTATTTATTCTGCATTACTTGTGCCCATAACTATACCAGTGTAACTTTCGGTGTTATTAATTATTTTGAAGAGTGCATGACGTTTGACTTTTACTTTTGATTAAAAACGAATTTAATGTTATAGAATTTAATATTTTTTTAAGAATTTTATAAATTGACGTAAACAACAGGTGTTCATGATCAGGCAACGACAAATATTTAGAGATTCCAGATTTTTCATCAGCAGAATCGCTTATTAATATGACCTGTTACCATTGATGCATATAGTTTAACAATAGACTGTTAAGGTGTTTGTAAGTTTTGGACATAACACCAATAATAAATGTCAGACAAACATTAAAACTATCCAATACATAATTGAAGTACTGAGGCACTGTGAAATTTAATTACACTAGGGAACCATAGCAGCAATTGTTGCCCTTCACCTCCGTTGTAATTTGGCCATTCCCTATGCTGTGCACCATTCCTAAATACTCACCTTCGTAGTCGCGGTCATTTCCTCATGATAAATTTCAACCAAGCATTACCATTCTAACCTAAAGACAACACAAAAACAAATAAGAGAAACAAATACGCAATGTTTATATCTGCTGGTATATTAAAAAAAAAACTTATAGAAACACTGTAGCAGTACTTCCATTAGAAAAATACTGGATATTTGAGGGCCTGTGGGGTAGAGCAGATGTAATTTTGGACACTTCAAAAATTATTTCCACCGTCCTTGGACCTTCGGCTTCAAAATGAATCCTCATCATCCATACTATCTTTTCCGTAGCTCGAGATATATTTTGGGGACCGATTCGGAATTAAATATATGGATTTGTAAAGAGGTAAATCTAAATAAAATTTTCTCGTGAATTGTTCATGTTTTACGTCTGTACAGCATTTGCATAACATAAGATCCAACCATTCTAATTAGTTATATAAATGACTTAATTGGCAGCAAGTCATCGTGTAAATAGTGACATTAGCATTAGTCAAACGTGTGGGTGATTATCTGTGAGCACCAGATTGTGCTGATCCGGATAAGTAATTGGATGATGCTGTAGTGGATACGGATATTGTATGACGTCATAGGTTCTGATATGCAACAGGTGGTGGATGTTCAAACAGAAATTTGCGTAGTTCATTTAAACGAGGTTATTCTACTGTAAATGCTCTTATACCGGATCACATTGTGTGGTCTGGCAAAAAATTAAGAATTCAAAGCAGAATAAGGTAGGAAGTATTATTCTGATTCTCAAATCGACAAAATAGTATTGGCTGACATTAAAAGAAATTGGCTGGTTGGATATGTGCAATCCTGTGGTTACAAACGAAAAATAACCTATTGTTACATTATGTTGAAAACAAACGCGCTCTACTATTGTTGTTTTGGGCCTGTATTCATATGTGAGTATCAAGTAATATACAGTAATGTATCATTAGGGTAGAAACCCTACTAATTAACATTTTGAAATGGCTACAGGTCCAATGCAGAGAAGATTTAGTAGCTTTGTAATGTTTAACCAGACTAATAATAATCAATAGAGATATTATGATGTTAATCGATTGTTGGGGCTTGTGAAATCAGCTGTTCTCTGTCAATTACATGTGATCATAAATATCTTGATCCAATTTTTATCATTAATCGTTCTAAAGAATCCTATCTCTTTTAAACTATTGCTTAAAAAGTAATATGTATTGTACACTCAAATTTCACAATAAAAGATAAGTAAAAGAAGAGTAATTGGATAAACAAGGATAATATTATTCCAGGTAAAACGAGTTACAGTAATTTCTAACGGATACATGAAGGTATTCTGCAATAATTTACTGATAACCTACAAACCATCTTAACCGACTAATTTACTGCCTACGAGTAAGCTCACCTAATTACATTCACTTTGTAAATTGCTTTCTTGTGTTTTGGTGAATATTGTTTAGTAGTTTATTACTTATCAGTAAGTTTTCAATAATTTCGATAATTTCAACAATTTAACTTACTTAAGCTACTTAACTGATTCATGGTTTTGATCTCATAAATGACAAATTATGGGGTGCATTGCATATGTTAGCAGACTAAAATTTAAAATTTAATCTTTTACTTGTACATAAAATCCTGAGGTGTGAATGTACTGTATTGCTTTAAATTTAATCTAAATTGTGTAAAAACCAGAATATGACAATTATGCTTCAGCAGGTTAAATATGTTAGATGTTTACGAGAGCTCGCCCCGTGGTCGAAAACAAACCAAAAGTTTGTATTGTGCCAACTTCTTTATTTTCACCTTACACTGTAAATAAAACATGGGATTGGAATTTTTGGATTTTCTGTTTATATTTTGTTTTTATTTTGTCACCAGCATAGCAACACATAAGGCCCATGCTATTATTTTTATTTCAAATTAATTTATCGTGCTCATTTTGAGCCTATTTTAATTTATAAGGGGAATATACACATCTACAGAAAAATATCTTTCATTTTGTACCAACCGCGCGTAATTCGGTCCAATAGTATGGCCAGGCTATCTGTCATAACTTTTGCAAAAGTCTTTTAGTATATATAAGATAGCTTTATTATTTTTATATTGTTAGTTGCTATTAAATAGAGAATACCTCAGGTAAGTCGGTGGCTCAGATGGTAGCGTCATGGACTTCGGGCCCAAGGCAGTGATGTCGTGGGTTCGGATCCTGGTCACTGCCACAAGCATTTTATCAGTACAGTTCACCTTCGTACTGTACCGGCTCACCCCTTGCTTTGCTGGATACATTCCACGTACAGATCTGTAGTCTATGTGGACGGGGAAATGCAACGTTAAAAGAGGCCGCCAACCTCTTAAAAAAATTATGATAAAAATTAAATAAAATAAAAACATACTCGTATTTTGTTTTTAACCTAAAGTGGTTTAAAACATGACAGTTATTTGCTATCATTGTGTATTTAATATAATAAATCAATAATTATTCATATTATCATTATTTATATGTTAACCTCAACTGTATTTTTACTTCGGTATAAATATTTTGAACTATTTTTTAATAAAAAACACAAAATGTTCAAGCAATAACCCTAAATCTACACTTACTAAGCCATATTACGGTTATTTCCTAAACAATAATCTACGTGTAAAAATGAATAGCTACAAATGGATTTTAAGATTTGCATATAAATAAGGTTTCCCAGGATATATGCAGGTACATATAACATGCTATTTCATTGCTGTATGCCAGTGACAGTAGGTTTAATTATTTAAAGCTTGAGCCCAGTGGATATTTTGCTAATTTAAAACTTGAAATAACGATGATATAAGAATTTTGTTTGAATATTATTGAATATATTGATCATAAAAAACATGTTTAGGCTTGACCTATTGCAAACAGAGGTGGATGCTTATAAGATTGAAAGAATAAGGGTACAGTTATAAAAATAAAAAGTAAATCATTACCCTGCCATATTTTCTTGCCTTGGCTAAAACACAAATGTTAAAAACAAAGTTAAAACAATGTAATTTGGTTTCGTGTTTATATAAATTGTTTGTTTAACAAGACTAAACATCCATCAAAAACTTTTGTTTTTATGTTCGTAAATATTTTATAGTTTCATTACAATTACTTTTGAACACTATTTATCTACATCGGTCTAAGATACTAGAGTATTTGAATAAATTAAGAAGACTAAGAGTGAAAAGGAATTTAATAAATAGTTCCAGAAGACCACTTTAACTCTGTATAATCGTGCGCTTAGTGTCGAATTTAAGCTGAAATGCTCATCCAAATCTACAGAAGCCTCCTACGTGTATGCCACATCAAACGTAGACTGGACTATTAGTATGGTATAATATGTTGATTAAACATCTAACATACAGACATGTTTGTCACCAGTTTCTTCTTTTAAATGGATTTGCTCAATTGGAGTTATTATAATACATTGTTTTAGTAATTAAACTATAGTCAGACCATTGCAGCAAAGATAAAATCTTATACGTCAGATTCAATGTGAGACCTCTGTGACGTAGTATGACCTCTGTGGCGTTGTATGACCTCTGTGGCGTTGTATGACCTCTGTGACGTAGTATGACCTCTGTGACATAGTATGACCTCTGTGACTTAGTATGACCTCTGTGGTGTTGTATGACCTCTGTGACGTAGTATGACCTCTGTGACGTAGTATGACCTCTGTGGCGTTGTATGACCT